CCAAGCTCAAACTGAAAATCATCTTCTTATTGGCTGTTTTTTTTTTTAATTTTAAATGCATTGAAATTTAAAGGGAAATAAGTATTTAACCCTATGTTATCCAACTTCGAGAACAAGTCACGTTTATGATTCATAGAAGTTTCCTTGGCTGGAACATTTTGGTTGCGTATTTCATCAAAGAACTGCTTTTCTGTCAAAACCCCCCAATTATGAACATTAAACTGGTACCTTCACCACACTTTACTTGAATATTGGAATTATGTGTCTTTATTTTAACATCAAAATCTGAAAGAATGGACTGGGGCTCCGGACTAGGGACTGGGAACAGGAGACTGGGGAAGTCGGGAAACCGCGGAACTCAAGAGAAAAAAAAAACCAAAGAAGGTAGAGAAGCTTCCAGTGTAATTCCTCAAGAGCATGTATTGTGGTTATATTGCAGAATTCTTTTTACAGGAAAGGCGCGGAAAAGGTGTGTTAGCTTTCGAAATGAAAAAGTGAAGAGTTTCCAAATGTTTTCTCTCTTGCACCTGTAAAGCTGGTGAGAATTTTCCTGACATAAAAAAGAACCAAGAATGGAACAAATGAAATAAAACCTAACTAAAAAAGCCGCAGAATTTAATACTTTCACATTTTCTTTTACGTAAAAAGATATTTTGCTCGTTCTTAGTGTTTCTTAGTACAGCGATCGTTAACGTCCGATTGTCAAATAATTCAGAGCGAAAATGCTTTTGAGTTTCCTCGGATTTAAAGCAATAAACATTCCCTTTCAGCTTAACTATTCATTTATTTGTTCAGTCAACAACAAAAAATAACTATATGTCACCAGTTGCAAACTTTAATTACGACACATGCATTCTATATATTCCTCTAATTTGGTGTATAAAATTGAATGCTCAAGGTCGTATATACCACTTCACGCGTGTTGGACATGAGGCTTTTACTTCTTGTTGCCCTTTTGGCAGGGCTCACCAACAAGATCGACGGTAAGACCCGAAACAATAACAAGTACTTCTCGTATAACTGTGAATCTATCTCTTAACACAACAACACTGACTCGCGACTCCTCACCATATCCTATGCAACATACATACCGAAGTTAGGTACAACTAATAGTTGAACGTATTTTCGAAAATTGATGGGACTCTGAAAAAGACAACTATCACCACTTTACGTTAAAGTGTAGACGAGCTAAGTTACCATCGTAGATCGTTCTTTTGTTTGAGCTCTAGGACATGAACTTTATTTTTAGATCTTGTGCTTGTTACTAGCTACATAAAATGCTAACTACAGTTGACTTTTTCATTTCGGCATGGACAAACATTTCTTAGGATTCTACTGCAATTTTGACCGTGGCCAATGTGATTTTGTTCAGCGACAAGATGATAACTTCAATTGGATAAGGAAAAAAGGTGCAACATCTTCCGGCGGTACAGGACCACATTCAGACGTGAAGGGAAGAGGTAAGGTAGCCTGAAAAAAAGCGAACTGAATTCCTGTGGATATTCCTTCCTTGATTGCTATGGTACATAAATAAAACACGAAGGCAAATTAGTTCTGAACATTGAGAAGTGTGTAGCACTCAGTTTGGAGTATTCCTAGATTTATTTCCCGTGGTGAGGGACAGCAGTTAGAAACTCTTAATAGTTTATAAATTAATTTATTTAAGTGTCCCCAGTTAGCTCTAAAAGCTAAATATTTTAGACACTCAAACAAAGTTCAGTGTATGTATGTTCCACCTTCTTCAGTTTGAGGAAAATGATAGGAATCCTCGCCTTCATTTTCCCGGCCATCCCGAAAAACACGAAGGNGGGGTGAGGGTGGGGGGTGCTAAATGGGGGTTGCTGAAATCTCAGTTAAAAGTTAAAGAAGTTAAAGTTGTGGTGATTCCTCAGCTATTTTTCACATTTCAACCCATTTTTCAGCTATCAGTAAAACTTGTGGACCCAAGATCACAGCTATAATTTTTCAAAACGCGTCGCTTCTCATTCGACAGTTAAAACCCGACCCACTAATACATTCGGTGTGTTTTGAATAACTCCCTCAGTGAGCACGTTATCGTGGTCATTCGAGCATTATCATGATATATGTCCGTTAAAATATTTGTTTAGGTTATTACATGTATATAGAAGCCTCCAGAAAAAGGAAAGGTGATAATGCAAAGCTAGAAATAAATACTGGATTGCCTTCTGGGAAGACGTGCATGACCTTTTTCTACCACATGAGAGGGGGATACGGCCAAATGGGAAGACTTCGCGTGCTGATAAATGGAAAACAAGTTTTTGAGAAAAGTGGAAATCAAGGAAGCAGCTGGCTTGAAGCTAAAATCACTTATGATGGTCGTGTGTCGTCGGTAATAGTATTCATACGAATAACTCCGATTCGAAATTCAAGACGACTTATCTCTAAACAAACATTTTAAATAGTTTGACTGTGAGTAGTGTTGAATTTCGAATCGAATCTGTTCCTAGTTATCTCCACGAATGCCTTCAAGAGAGAAAGAATGGTAAGAAAGTTAATCCCCCATATACATTCGTTATTTTTAAGGTAATTCTTCTCAAGTTATTTCTAGATCACTCTGGATACCATATTTCATCACGATTCGAAAGTTAAGGCGACTCATATCTAAACGTACAGTTTAACTAGTTTGACTATGAGACGAGTTGAATTCGATTTGAATCTGTGCCTAGTTACCTCCATGAGTACCTTGAAGAGAAGACGAAGGTTGAGAGAGTTCAATCCCTGCAGGTCCTACTCCTGAGGAAATCCTTTTCAAGTTATTAATTGTAAGATCACTCCCGACTTCAGAAATCCCCGGAGATCTAGAAATAACCAATCCTGCGACGCGAAGTTTCAGTCATGCGGACAGTAGCTTTACACGCGCGCAATTTCTTGCTCCGCGAATTTATCCTCGAATTCAAAACTCGCGTGGCAACGTTATCTACGAGAGGACTGGATACCATGTCTAAATATAACATGAGAGGGAATTCCTTGAGAAAAAAAAGTATGTGGGTATATGGAGGATTTATTTCTCACTGGTACCTTAACTGAAAGTAAAATTGTCTTTCTTGAGCTTGTATATGAACGTTTTGCACATGGCCTTTCTCGGCTACATACAGCTTCCCTGACTCATATACATATAAATACACTAGTTACAGAAGTAGTTTTTTAAAGTACAAACCCAACTGATAGAGAAAACACCTAGTTATAATTATGGCAAAATTCTAAACGAATTTGCCATGGCCATTTGATTTTCAGCGTTCCCCCAACCATGAGGCGATTGAAAATGTACCACTTAAGCCGTGTTAATTTGAGGAGCTTTCATATTTACAGGTTATCTTTGAAGGAATTGTGGGTAGAGGCCATCAGTCGGACATAGCAATCGATGAAGTCAAGATGGAGAAGTGTGGACCGGGCGGCGGTGATGGATGTAGGTTTTTATATTTTTATTTAGTTCTCAAGGTAATGCTGTGTTGTAAGCTTTCACACAAGATTTTAATATGGCCTATTTCTACCAAATGTAATAGAGTTACACCCACTGAGACATCAGGGACGAATATGTTAACCATAATCGACGTTATGTAAAAAAGAAATGGCGGAAACAGCTGCTAATACGGCCAGGGGACGCGAATTAAGACTGTTAGCTTACGTTTTGCTGTATAGTACCTAAAGAAGAATGTTTGAAGACGAGTCCAGTTTCTCAGTTGCTACTGTTCTACTGCAGACGGTATATTTGAGTGACATCATTCTCCTGATTCCAACGGGCACTTTTCCCGCAGCTCCAAAAGCTTACCATAAAAGAAAAATAGCTGTGTGACAACTTTAGATCAAAAAGACTAGCCAGGGATTAGAAGCTAACCAAAACAGCTCACGGAGCAGGTAATGAAATTTTATTTTGCGAATCTGACTAATTTCATACTCATTTTCACTTTAGCAACAGAAGGACCCCCTCCTCCTCAGCCAGGAACTGCCACACCACCACCCCCACAAACACCAGCTCCGCCAGCCGGTACGAAATAGCGCTCATTTCTTTATAAGGAATTCAACCCCATCACGCTTTAACACTATTTAGTTCTCTTCCGTCAGACGGATGCGGCTTTCGTCCATCTACTCGAATTGTCGGTGGTGAAGATGCTCCACGGGGGGCCTGGCCCTGGCAGGCGATGTTGAGGTGGTCTCCTACTGGAGGTGTGTTCTGTGGTGGTACTTTGGTTGCTCCTCGATGGGTTGTAACAGCCAGTCACTGCGTCAAAGGAAGCGAAGCAGGCTCCATATATGTTAGGTAGGAATTCAAAATACTACTCTTATTGACTAATGACTAATTCGTACTGATTTGGCCATTTATGAACTTGTTTTCAGTTCAAGTTTTAGTTGACATATTTTTTGGGGATGCTCTCATCTTTCACACTGGCACGATCATGCATAGCTTTCATATACGAGGTTGTTACAAATACAACGTTAAAAGAAAATTTAGTATTTAAAATTGACCTTTTATCGAATGAAATGTTTCCTATCTTTTCTCCGCATGGAGGCTCGGTGCTCACAAGCAGTCAGAAATGACAGGAACAGAACAGGACTTCACTGCATCCAAGGTGATCATGCACCCAGCATATCACAAACCAATCGGCATGAGCCATGACATTGCTCTACTTAAGCTGGACAGACCGGCCGTGCTCACAAGGTAAGTTCATCCCTGATTTAGTCAACACCCACAGTGATGTTGATCGTCTTTTTGCCAAGCGGACTTTCTGTCCGTGCTCGTTTCATTTTTTTCGCTTTGCTTGAATTGGCATCAATCTTAGAGAACATAGATCTGTGACAAGATTATGGCTTGTGTACTTCTAATATTCACAGATTTTCTTACTATAAAGAAAGTCACTTTTTACAAGTGCCTCTCAAACTCAAAGTTTGGGTTTCTGATCTTAATTAGCATAGAATTTACGATTTTATTTCTCCGTTTTCTCCGCGATTTTAGTTTCGATCAAGAAAATATATCAAATACTCAAGACAGTGTTTGACGACATTACCAAACACCTCGAAGCTAGTGAAAAATACCCCGCGGCGCGTCATATTTTCAACTCTCTTCTCGTTGTTTGGAAATGTGGTCATTTACGGTCTTGAGTGGTTGATATATTACTAGAAACTGTTTAAATGTTTATAGAATGAACACATGGACCCTTTTTTATTCTAACGTGAAGCGCATTTCAAACTTGTTAGGTTCGTGAACCTTGCTTGCCTGCCTCAAGCTGTTGCAGCTCCAGTTGAGGGCAAGAAGTGCTGGATTACAGGCTGGGGTAGAACATCTTCAGTCGGAGGTTCTAGCGGAAAGGTTCTACAGCAAGCTTCAGTACCGATTGTAGGAAGAAACCGATGTGAGTTTACTTACCTGGGACAGATCCACGACTCCATGATTTGCGCCGGTTTGGACCGAGGCGGCATTGATTCCTGTCAAGGGGATAGTGGGGGACCTTTGGTGTGTGAGAGTGGCGGAAGGTTCTACCTCCAGGGTGTAACGAGCTGGGGACGGGGGTGCGGTCGGCCTAACAAATATGGCGTCTATGCTAAAGTAACATACCTGTTGGACTGGTTGAATAAGGAGATGGCCAAGAGTTGATTTTCATTATTATATTGTTCGGCTCCTCTGTGTAGCAAATGCTAACTTTCATTACTACTGATGTGTGGCGAATAAAAACGCTAAGACGCATTTGTTTGAGAATGTTTTACTCATTATAATAATTTAAAATTTTCTTTAAAATTTCACATCTTCCTTTCAAGTTTGGTATGTTATGTTAAAAGCTAGCAAAGTTCGCATCGTAAGCAGATACACTCGTCACAGGTCTAAGATTATTTTGCAATGGCGGTGGGTTCCACTATCGTTGGGAACGGATATATGTTTATTGTCTTCTCTTCAACTGCTTAACTTCAATATAACTGCTTAACTGCTTAACTTCAATTTTCCCATCAGTTCACTTAATTATATAATTTATTTCTTATGTAACAAACACTCACCCATAAGAACCAGGCCCCAGTTGTTCAAAGGCTGGGTAACGCTCTCCGCCGGAAAAATCGCTATCCAGTGGATAGCGTGGTTTGTTTTGTTAACACTTATCCGCTGGATAGCAAAATGTCGAGTGAATAGCGTTATCCACCTTTCGAACAACCCGGGCCTGATGATTAAGAACCCCCAGGTATAAATTTTGGTTTTCAAGTTTCCATTATATATAAGAAGCCGTTTAACCTAGAAATTGAAATTGGTTGTTATTTGATAATTAAGAGACCACTGCGTTCACACGGGCATAGTCGACTAAAACAGTCGATTACGAAAACAGAAAAAAGTTCCACGAAAGCTCGAAACAGTGTGGGGAAAGTCACATGAAGCACACGCCAAAGGTTAAAATGAAACTAAAACTTATTTCGTGTATTAAATGGACTGAAAATCTCCTGGATATGTATCTTGACAGTAAAACGTAGCGAAAGTAACTGTACCGGGTACACTCGAGGAACGTGCATGCAATGTTTGATAAGTGTAGCTAAACTTGTTCGAACAATCTTGAACGTTGAAAATGACAAGTTCCTTCTCCGAGAAGCGACATTAGGGAATCATGGCAGCTGTGTTTAACACTGCTAAGTCCTAAACTGTTTTGTTAAATAGAGCGCTCTCACGTGAGGTCTGTAGAAATCGTTGAACTTTGCTTTTATACGAATTCATCAGTGCAATTGGACACTGCGTTTTGCTTGTATATCATTCTTGTTTGAACTAGTTTGACCACGTGGATTTTGTAATAGGATAAGTTTAGGTCGTTTAGTGCTATTCTTACACCTAAGCACCTAATCTAGGGTAACAAGCCCGAAAATATCGCTATTTACTGGTTTCACAAAGGCCACCTTGGGGACAGAGGAAAGCGGCCGTTGAAGAGAGCTGGCCGTTGCAGGTTAAATGCTCATTGAAGCATGTAAGTATGTAACAATCAAAATGCATGTCGTTAAAACAGAAACGAAACAGAAACAGAGAACAACGACGCGCGGTAAGGATCAAGTGTCGTGCCTTTTTACAATAAGAAATGGGGTTTGTACACACCATTCGTCAGTTGTTGATTAACTGGCCGTTTTCGAGAGGTTATTTCGGTAGTTGGGGCGTGCTTTAGTGGCCTTTGCCGTTGTGGAGAGGTGGCAGTTGTATAGAGAGGTTAAAATAAGAGTAAATGTATGGGCCGTCCGTTGGGACAAAAAAGTGGCCGATATAGAGAGGAGGCCGTTGTAGAGAGGTGGCCTTTAGTAGCATTCGGCGTGCGTTCTGTGACGGCATGAGGCATTTTGTGTAAATTGGTCATATCAGTTACTCGATCAAAATATTCATCGCTAGCAAAAAGTACATTTGGAAATGAAAAATCCGATCGGAATAAGCATGCTGTGCACCCTAGAGTTATAATGGAAAATGACAGCAAAACGACTGAATAAATAAAATTAACATCATGGCTTTATGAAACGAAGGATAACACATATTAAAAAGAGACTTATTACACTCCAAAGTTCTGACAAACGAAGCAAGATGTCTGGTTAATCGTTGTAGGGAGTTTGGTTAGATGCCAGATGTCAGATATGTCGTGGGAAGATCATCAAGCAAAAAAAAAAAAAAAAAAAAAAA